CACTGACTCACACCCTCATCCCTTTTTAAAATTATTATTATTATTTCTTGAGAAATGAAAGCAAAAGCAAAAGAAATGGAGACAGACCTCAACAGACCAGCATTGCTTTATTAACCAGCAGAGGGACACATTTTCAGGAGGAAATGGCACCTGGTTACAATAGAGGTCTGATTTCTGTAGAATTAAATGAGACTTAATCATCATGGCAGGATGTGTACTCAGCCTTAATCACAGACACTTAATCAAGTTGGTCAGGCATCAGGGAGACAGGTGTAGAACAGGAAGTCAGGAGCTTCAGAGCCCGTTGCTGCTGGGAAATGGTGAAAGTCCAGAGCCCATTATTTTCCTTCTCTCCCTGGGACCCATTGTTCTCCCTTTCTCCCTGGGGGTTGTTTTTCCCATATCCTTCAAGAAAGGGTCTCACTAAGTTGTCCAGGCTGGCCTTGAACTTGTGGTCCTCTTGCCTCAGCCTCCTGAGCTGTGCTTCTGACCTACAAAATTAATTATGCTGCATTCAAGGAAGGGGAATGAAGATTCCAGGTTGGGAGGCTCATTCTTGGGAAAGACCAATGTCTGAGAGATGAGTGTTGTGGGGAAGGAAAGGCCTCATTCAACCTGGCATGGTGGTGTGCACCTGTAATCCTAATGACTTGGGAGGCTGAGGCAGATTTTAAGGCAGGCTGAATTGCAAGTTCAAGTCCAGACTCAGCAACTTAGCAAGGCTCTGAACAATTTGGCAAGACTCTCTCAAAATAAAAATGTAAAAGGGCTGGGGATGTGGCTTGATGATTAGCTCCCCCCCGCCCCCCCCTTCAATCCCATCTTTGGCGGGGAGGAAGCCTTTATTCAGTGGTCAAAAATGAAGAGGGGGCTTTGCTCACAATCAGTTTCTCCACTCCAGGGGATTGAGGGCTACAGATGTAGGATAGGAACAGTGATGGGCTGAGAAAGGGCAGGAATAGTTTTTTTTTCTTTTCTGGGAACAGGCAGAGAGTTTCCTGGAATTTGGCCGCTACCTATTTTCACTCCTCTCATTGTTGTGTTTTTCGTCATGGTAGCGGGTGTCTTTTTCTATGAAGAGGGGAAGGGAGTGGAGAGAAAGAAAGTTTACATTAAGTTAATTCTACATTATAGTTTTGGACAAAAAAAAACATTTCTCAAACATTTAATGGATCCAAGTAGAATCTGACCCAAAAGTTAAGGCAACAAAGGAGACAGACCTGGTGTGAAGACAGAGATGCCAAGTCCTTCATCCTGTTCCAGTCAACATGGGGCACCTTTAGGTCCAAGTGATGAGTCAGTGTTTTCAACAAGAGTGAACTTCAAGTGCCTGAAGCATGGCCTGGGCGACCATCAGCATGGTGACCCACGTGTCCAGGGAGTGATCTACTGCAAACTAGTGGGAGGCTGATAATGTATTGCCTGGCTGTGTCACCTCCAAAATTAGTGATTTTTAAGTTAGTGAGACAAACAATTTACTTAAAAAGTGAAACTATAGGGTTTATTTAGGTTTTTTCCCTTGGTGACAGCTTCAAGGACTTGCTATAGTAAACTTTCATTGCACATGATTCAATTTGGAACATAACTTCCCTGTTGGAAATGATATAGTTTATGCTGCATTTATTTCCATGACTTCTGTAGCTCTCTCTAGATTGTAAGTCCTTGGAGGCACGGTGCCCAGTCCATTTTTATAGACCAGCCCAGTGACAGAAACAGCACAGATACTCAGTAAATATTTGATGAATGAATGAGACCACAGCCAGGAGCTGGCTTGCTGAGCTGCCTCTGTTCACTACTTACACTTTAGAAGTTTCCCTCTAGGTTTCCTCTTGAAAATACTTACCTGGTATTTTCCATCGAAATAAATAGCACTCACATGCCTTGGAGTCTTAAAAGAAAAAAAAAGTTGTCATTGTGTTCACCAGCTTTGTATTACTGTGACCAAAATATCTGACAGAAAAACATAGAGGAGGAAAGATTTATTTTGACTCATAGTTTCGGAGGATTCAGTACACAGTTGGCTCCAAGACAGCCATGGAAGGGTGCGGTAGAGGAAAGCTCTCAGCTCACAGCATCATGGAAGCAGAAAAAGAGAGGAAGGGGCCAGAGAGAAGACAAACCCTTCTGGGGCATGACCCCAGGGACCTACTTCCTCCACTAGGTTCCACCTCCCAGTGGTCCATTCAGCCATCAGTGGACTAATACACTGATGACATTGAGACCAGGGCAAAGAACAGATAGTGTAGGTAATGGGTGATTGGGTTGGAAAGTTGGGGGCTAATTCAAAAGGAAATAAAATGCTAATACCTCCAGAGCACTCCCCCCTCCTCACAACTTGTTACCAAGGTTATCTCTGCCTCCAGGGAATTGCTTCTTTCAGTGCAAGGTATTGCTAATGAGCACCCCCCTGGACAGCCCTTTCCCACCTTTTGGTCATGTAGGCAAGATAAGAGGAGGAGGGGGCATGAGAAGAAAGAAAATCTACAATCTAAAAGGGGCAGAACACCCCCAATCCCTCCAGCACCAGCTCAGGGCCCCCTGCTCTCTAATGAGAGAAGTGAAAATAGGTAGCAGCCAAATTCCAGGAAACTCTCTGCCTAGAATGTAATAAATACAGCTCACTGTCTGTCTCTCTCTGTTCTGTTTCTTAAAGAAAACTTACTTTCCCAGCTTGACTCAGCATTTCTCAGGTGTTTAATCTTCAACTCCAGGGAAGCAAGAACCTGATCCTGATTTTCAAGATGTGAATCAAGGTTCAGCCCTTCAAGATGTGAATCAAGGTTCAGTGCTCTAACCACTTCCCCAAAACCCCACCTCTGAGCACTTGGGTCTCTGGGAACTTCCTTTGCAAACCTCCCTTGCTGTGTGACTCATGTCTGATGTGTCCTTCAATTCTTCTTTGGAATGTGGTCCTAGACATGGAGGGCCCTAGCAGAGGTCTCCTTCATTCCTGGAGACCACCTCAGACTTCCGTACAGCAACAGCTTCTTTTTGAGTAGAGGGGTCTTCTGTTCTTGGAGACCTCCTTGGATTCCCACATGGTGACACACTGAATCCTGCTGTCCTGGGCACTTGGCATCCAAAAGAAGTTTGTTGTGAGTCTTAAGGCTCCAGGAAGGAAGTGAGGCTGGTCCTCCAACTCCACCTGCAGAGCAC